TGCTCGTACAATGAAGTGACGAGAAGAAACATAGCATGTGGGTACTCGTCCATTGAAGTGGCGAGCAGATACACAACAACACATAGCATGCATACATGTAACAAGTTAGTTGTGAATTGAAGTGGCAAGCAGATACACAACAACACATTACCGCATAATTTTCATAATTATAAATATATTGCAAAAAATAATAATCATAGTCTAAATTTTATTTTATTTTTAAAAATCAATTTTATATGATTAAAATAATATATTTGATCATATTTATTATTAAATTTTATGATAATATTAATATAAATTAATTTAATAATAAAACAAAAAAAATATTTATCCACTTAGCCAATAAATAGCCAAGTACACACTATAAAAAAATACGCGAAGCTGCTTTTCAAATAAATGAACGAGCATAGATTACAAAAGTGGCATCCTAAACAAAATTTAAAATGAGATAGATTGAAAATATTTTTTTCACATTTGGCACAGAACAAAAATTCCACAAAGTTTTGTTATCATCTTCTCACATTTGTGCATTTGAAATTAATGATAAAACTATTTTTAATTATATTGTAACTTAAATTTTTATATTTAAAATTTTACATATTCCTATATAAAATGACACGTTATTTAAAAATGGAGACATTATTGATTTTAAGTGAATTTTGTTTTAAAATATATCAAACATTGTTTTAAAATAATCTACATAGGTATTAGTAGCCCTAACATGGTTTGTTCATGGAATAAATTAAACGAAGGTGCATGTGTAGACGATCCTCATTCCCGGCGGGAACTGCGTCAGTCACCGGTAGTGGCCGTATCACGGTGGCCATTGCTGTTTCTACAAGTGTAGTTAAATTCATTGGTTCTCTATATGCAATTTGTGTTGACTTGACTTTCATATTTTCGTTATTTTTGCATTGCCTCTAATTAGCTGGTTTTCACGCCTCTTGAGTATTGACCTAACAAATGAAAATAAATTGCTTCTAACAACAACTTGCTTAAAAACAGTTTTTTACTATTTGCGTCTACATCATTGTGATGTAATCGTTTCATAATCTCTAAGTTATACCATAACCACCGCATTAACTTCTTTCACAAGTTTTTAAGAAATCATTCCTGATGAATAGAAAGATAATTAATGTTACGTGTATTTGATAGTTAGAACCATGTTGGTTTAGTAACAATCTTTTTATGTTTTCATGTTAATAATATAAGATAGTAATTTATCTTTTAGTATTGGATAATGTTAACTTGTGCTCTTGAGGCACATATTAAGAATTAAATTAAGAAATATCATCTTAGAAATTGTGTATAAACTTAAATTAAAGTATAAAATTAATTTTTAAATTGTTTTTTCCAATACAAATTTACTAAAAGTGGTTTCCTTAACATGTGCCCCAAGGGCACAAGTTAACATTACCCTTTAATATTTATGAGTGTCCATATAAATATATATATATATATATATTTTTTTTAGAATAAAGGAACTTTATATAACTTCAAAAGATAGAATATATAAGGGTATAAGTATAAAACCCACCCACAAAATAATATTAAAAAAAACCCATTAATCTATGAGAAGGTTAGCTATATGACGCCTAATACTAGTATGAACCCACGATCTGTAAGCAAGGGTAGAGATAACTATATCTCTAATCTCGATGGTCTGCACTGTATTTCCAAAAATGGCGTGGTTACGATACTTCCATACTTCGTAGACAGTCTCCGCAATGGCGCTACGCAAGAGGCATTTCCGCCAACCCTTACCTTTGCACTGATGTATAATCCAGTTCAGCTCTTCACGCCAATCACAGGGGGTGCGATGAATTCCCATCTACCTCAGAATTTCCTGCCAACAGATTTGAAACAAGGGACATTGAAAAAACAGATGGTCAATCGTTTCTTCGTTGTTGCAGAATTTACATCTGTCATCCGTAGTAATTCCAAACTTTTTGAGTCGCACCTTTGTCGCCATCCTACGGTGGCATGCCATCCAAAAAGTGAAAAGAGCTCTTGGTCTAGCAATAGTAGTAGAGAACATGTGGTTCTAAACCACATCAGGTTCATCCATTTTGAGGTAGTGGTAGACTTTACCCACGAAGTACTTCACCTTCATATCGTCCCAATCTTCCATGCCAGTCACGATGTCTCTATACCTCATAATGTTTTTGAAAATCCATCACATACAATGCTTTTTCTGGACCTGCATAAGGTTAGTGGATTTGAAGTAAAAAGAATGAATCCACTTTACCCAAAGGGAGTCCTTCTTATTACAAAGGTTCCAAAGCAATTTAGCTAAACAGGCTTTGTTCCACTCATACAGATCCAACACATTCAATCCCCCTTTCTCCGAGGCTTACAGCCCGTCTTCCAAGCAATAGGGGATTTTATCGACTTCGATTCGCTGCCTGTCCATAGGAACATTCTGCAGATCATATTGATATTTTTTATCACACATTTGGGGAAAGGAAGGCAGTACATCTAGTAGACTGCCATAGTAGAGATGGTACTGTTAACCAATTGAATTCTACCTGCATAACTCAACAGCTTAGAACTCCAATGTCGAATCCGGATAACAATCCTATCAACTAAACTCATGTAGTAGTGAGCTGACAATCTTTTGCTGGTGAGGGGAATCCCCAGGTAACGAAACGACAGATTGCCTTCCATAAAAGAAGTAGATGCCAAAATATCCGTTTTAGTCTAATTATCAACCCCTCTAAAAAACACCTTGCACTTTGCCGGATTGACCACTAAACCAGTGGCCTGAGAAAACATATGAAATTTATCCATGAGCAACTTAACAGATTGGGTATCCCCACGGGAGAAGAGAAGAACATCATCAACAAAACTGATATTGATAATTTGCAACTTTTCGCACTTAGCATGAAAGTTGTAATCTGGAATCTTTCTTAATTGGTGCAGTAAGCGGTTTAAATACTCCATAGTTAAGAAAAATAGAAGGGGGGAAATAGGATCCCCTTGCCGAAGTCCCCTTTTTGCCTTCATACATCTCGTAATGCTTCCACCGACCTTAAATTTGTAGGACACCGTAGATACTGCCAGCATAACCCACTTGGTGAACTTTTGAGGGAAACCCAATTCCTTGAGGATGCACTCAAGAGCATTCCACTCCAATGTATCATAAGCTTTTTGGATGTCAAGTTGCAGCAGACATCTAAGAGTACTTCCTTTCCTGCTGCAGCCTTCTATAAGCTCATAAGCTAGCAAAATATGTTCATGGATGTTCTGCCAAGGAATAAAAGCCGCCTGACTATGGTTGACAATTCTGGTAAGGACTGAACTCAATCTATTTGTCAATATTTTTTATATGATTTTGTAGATAGTAGTGCAGCAGGATATAGGTCTGAAGTCCTTCACAGAATTCCCACCATTTCCTTTAGGAATCAGAGAGACAAGAGTGCAATTGACAGCTGGATACATATTGAAGTTGTTGAAAAAATCCATAACAGCAGCATCTGTATCCTCCTTTACGGTGCTCCAAGATGCTTTGAAAAATTTGGCTCCAAACCCATCAATACCAGGAGCTTTCAAGTCACCAATATCTTTGAGAGCCCTACTAATACCAACATCAGTTATGGGACAGTCCAACATGGCTCTCTGCTCCCCAGTAATTTGAGGGCCATCCCTCATCGCAGTAAGGTTGATCCCTTCTAAATCACCATTAGAACTCCCCATGAGTTTACCATAAAATGACAGCACCTCATTCTCAATTTCCTCAGTGGTGTTAAGGATGTCACCAGCCATATTACATAGACCAGAAATGTTGTTACTGTTCTGCCTGTTCTTAACTTGGGCATGAAAGCAACTGTTGTTTCCATCTCCCAGTCTGAGCCAGCTAATTTTGGATCTTTGGCTCAACACATGTTCCTCAATTTCGCTCCAATAGACAACCTCAGCAGATCTATCCTTAACTAATTGAATCATTTCCGAGTTATCCAGATTTTCCCTAAGCTGCACTTGGGCTTCCATCAACTTCTGTCTAGCATGATTGAGAGACGAGGTGGCACCAACCAACGGCTTGCTGAGATTTTTCATAACACTTTGGGTTCTAAGCAGTTTCCTCCACAACACAAACATAGGGCTGCCATGGATAGGGGCATTCCGGCTTCTTGCAATGTTCTCCTGATAACCCTGCACATCAGTCACACCATTTAGGAACTTGAATTGGGAGGTTCTATGCACGACAGTATCAGGTTTAGTAAGCAGCAACAAAGCATGGTCAGAGATACCAGGAGGAAGAGCCTCAAGAGACAAATTGATATATTTTTGAAACCATTCTGTGTTGGCCAGACCATGATCAATTCTAGAGTGTATAATGTTTTCACCCTTTCGATTGGACCAAGTATAGAAATCACCAACAACATCCATTTCACTAAGGTTGCAATTGTTCATCATATCATTAATGCCTTTGTATTCTTTCACTTGCACCATGGATCCACCTTTTATGTCAGCTGTGTGAATTACACTGTTAAAGTCACCAACAATAAACCACGGCCCCTGTTGATTCTGATGAATGTACTCAATCTCATTCCATAAATCTGTACGGTGGTCCAGTCTGTTAGCACCATACACAGCTGTAAGCCAGAACTGGAAAACCTCATTCATATCATAGATTCCACAATGAATCATTTGACCAGAGCTAGTAACTTTCCTTACTTCAGTTTTGGCATTGTCCCGCCAGATCCAGATTCTACCATTCACATGGTTAGTATAGTTATTCAAAAAACTACCTTTAATCCTCAATTTACATCTAATTCTGTCATCTTTTTCCTGCTTCACTCTGGTTTCAAGCAAAATGCAGATCATAGGGTTAAGAGAACGGAGACGGGCACTAACCTCTTTAGTCTTAACCTTCTTATTCAGGCCCCTCACATTCCATGAAACTAACATGGGGATTTAAGGTTGCTGGCAGGAGCATTCAAAATCCCCAGCATCCCAAATCCATTTTAGCATTGGATAGATCATTCCTTATTGGCTGGTCATTTCCCTTTCCCTTTACTGCTACTAGTGATCCTTGTCCATGCCTCATTCTCCGGCTGTTGTACCTCTGCAGTTGTTATGACTTGTCTTGGTGTAACACTTGCACTAGTCTGGTCTTTCTCATTCTCCTTATGTGGTCGCACTTGCACTTGCACTTGGCCCTTCACCCTCCATTCTTTAGTTGGTTTTGCAGGCTTGTCACAGTTATGTCCCACTTTATGGCATCGTTGGCAGTATAATGGTTTCCACTCATACTCAATCAGTTGTTTCATTCGCGCACCATTTTCATCTATGATTAGGATTTCTGATTTTAACTCTTGTGTAACATCAATTTCCACAAGGATTCGTGCATAGGAGACCCTGAGTTTATTTTCCGTACATTCATCAGTCACCAGAGGAGTTCCAATTGCACTTCCTATTTTACTAAGGCTTCGTGCCCCCCAAAGATGAAGGGGAAGTTGGGGAAGTTTCACCCATAACGTTATTGTTCTTAGCATATCCTTGTTCATACTAAAATTAGGCTTCCATTCGCGCAGCACCATAGGTCTATTACGAATTGAGTACGACCCCTTCATCAGAACTAATTCCTTGTCGTGGAATGAGTGGAAACGAAGAATGGAAAAACCTTCGTCATTGTAGAACATCTCAGGTAGTGTCACAAAGTTCCAGGTTCTGCTTATGAACTGTTTCACCGCGTTCATGCTTAGGTCAACACCCAAGGCATACATAATGAGAGCAGATTCCCAGAATTTCACTTCTGCTTCAACATCCGCTTCTTCAATCTGAATTTCCACTTCTCCATCAACAATCTTTGGTGCAACAAATTCCATGGTGAGTCCCTTCGCCGGGTTACGATTTTCATTGATAATGTCAACCCAGAGCTTCTTTGGTTGGGTCACTTCCACCTCCTTCTTGGCTTCTTCAGTAATCACTTGATTTAGGGTTTCGGTATCAGTTGTCCCTGCTTCCTCCCCCGCTTGGCTATCGCACTCCAAATTGGCAGCTTGCACTTCATCAATCGCAAAGTTTTCCTTATCCGCAGTATTCTGATCAGTCACCGTTGGATTGGTTGTTGACAGTGGCACCAAACGTGGCCGCCCTCGCCCTCTCCCTCTCCCACGAGCCATTAACTGAGTGTCCATATAATTCATATAATCTAACAGCAATGTTATTAATGTTACGTTGACACTTAAAAAATGAACAGTGTTTTTTAAAAATATTTTTAAAATAAGAAATATTATTATAAAAACTTATTTTTTAAAATTATTTTTAACTCAAATATAAAAGTGTGTCATTAATCAATTTCATCATTACATTAACAAAAAAAAAAGCTTGTTAACCATTTATTTTCCTTATAATTTATTAATCACTTTCTCTACACAAATATAAAAAAACATAATACTAACCATTTTTTTTTGTAATAAATTATAAAATATTTTAACCAATCATTACACTCTATTAACCAACTTTATTTTTTATTACTTAAAACATTTTAATATTTTAAAATTCATTAACTAAATTATGGTATATTTAATCAATCTTATACATACCATTAAACGCAACTAATTTACCACGTAAGATTTTATTTTTTAATATCTAGGCACTCAATAGTCAAGTTATAATCTATATTAACCGATTTATTTCACTTAAGTAATCAATTTTATTTTTTCAATTTGTAATGTCAAAACACATTAATCAAATTATATATTGTGTTAATAATGTTTTTACACGCCATTAACCAAAGTTATTTTGAAGAGGGAGAAAATGTTAGGAAAAAAACAAAGCAAGACATAGAAAAAAAAAGACGAACACAATCACAACATAAGAACCTAACGTGTAAACTTTAAAATTGGAGAAAAAATCACTGCCGTTGTCAATAGACAACCAGAGAATAACACTATCACTATACCAAAAAAGACCTTTAGCAGCGTTGCCTAAAGTGGCGCTGCTAAAGGTAAACGCAGCGCTTTTTTTATGGAAAAAGCGCTGATATAGGCTCCCTTTAGCAACACATTTAGCAGAGCTTATTTACCCCTTTAGCAGCGCTTTTAGAAGCGCTGCCTATTCCCCCCTCCCCTCCCCCCTTTAGCAGCGCTTTTAGAAGCGCTTTCTTAGACCCCCCCCTTTAGCAGCACTTTCTTAGACCCCCCTTTTAGCAGCACTTTTAGAAAGCGCTTTCTTAGACCCTCCCCCCTTTCCCCACCTATAGCAGCGCTTTTTTAGCACTCTCTATGCCCCCTTTAGCAGCGCTTTTTTGTAAAAGTGTTGTCTAATCTTCACGATTTTAAATTTTTTTTTTAAAATAATCATATTTTTTATATATTTTTCGATACACCTGCTTATAACAATTACATTCCCTAGTTATAATTCAGGCCTTTATTTAAACACTTTGGCCTTATATATACAATTCAACACTTTGGCCTTATATATACAATTCAACACTTTGGCCTTTAAGTATACATTGTAATTCATCACTTTGCCCATAATCATTTTAATACACATAAACCTGCTTAAATATATTACAACACAATCCGATCCTCAGAATTACAACATCACAAATACAATCAATTTACATATAATTACAAATCCGTTAACTTTACAAATAGATACGACTTCCAGAAATATTATTATCCCGCATCAATATTGGATGATACATATACCTTATACAATTCTCAACTAGAGAATAAATTGACACCATTCCTCCTTTATTTCTTCCAATCCCGCTTTCGAGTAAGTACCGCACTTGAATTCATCAAAGTACTACATAATATAACAGAACATGCACGATTTAGTTTTAAAACTAATTACTCAGATGAAACATCGGTTAATTATCAAAATGAATCATATAATTTATGAATTGATCCATACCATGATTGGAATCTCTATTTGACCATAATGAATAATTTCCTTCATAAAGCACAATACAAAATATCCGCAGTCAATCCCATTGCGCTGACGAGGACACTGTAAATGGAAAAAACAAAAATGGAAAAATAGTTTTATCAAGTAGGACCACTATAACAGTCAAAAATGGAAAAATATATATGCACTCTGATCCAGCTAATGTTGTTAGCCTTGCTTTTTGGCATTGTTGCTTGTCTTTGTTCTCTAAATATTTGTATAACTCTAACATAATATAAACGCATATTTAGAACAATGTCACATAATAAATAAAGATATATAATTATTCAGAACATTATATCTCATCACTTACGTATCAATCATATTCTTCATATCAGGATATTTTGTTTGATCGTCATCCAATGAATCCAGATAATACACTATTTTTTCATCGGATTAATCGCGACCAACAACCAGTGTCCACTATAAAATAAGACAACAATTTAGACGGAAATGTTATATAGAATGGAAAAAATCGAATAATTATAATAAATGAATTTAGAATGAAGTCATACCCATGGTCAGTATTATATGGCAACAAGAACAACTTCTCTGTAGTCGCGGCCATAAATCTTTGGACTATGTAATCTTTGACTACATATGGTGTGTGATCTATTGACCGTGAGTTGATACAGCTAGCAGATAAGAATGTGAATGTTGAAGTCAAATTATGCGGGACCAACAACTTGTCATACAAGATCCTAAAAGAAAAACATAATCAACATTAGAACATTCAATTAAATGAGCAAATTTTAAAATGTTCAATTATTTAATTAAAATTGATCGGAGTACCTGATGTAGGAATGCATAACACCGATGCCCAATTCAGAATGTTGGAAAATCTGGTCCAAATCCTCCTTAACAATTGTTTCGGTATATTCAAAACTAAAAAATACCTTCCTCCATAGGTATTTGACGGATGCCACCCTCATTCACATTTGTTGTTTCTACATATGTTTCAAGGCACAACCTAAATCGAGGAACAAATGCTTTTTTTGGCTCGACCTTTTTCTTGTTGGGCACCTTGGAAGATTCAGGCATCTTACCCTTGCTGACTTGTTGCAACTGTTGATCATGAACCTAAAAGTCATATAAGTTCAGTAATTAATGTATAATAAGATAGTCATATAACTGTAGTAGTACCTGTTTCTTTGATGCAGTTGTATTGGTTTCCCGCACAATGATTCCCTTATCTTTTGATTTAGATTTTTTAGGAGTCTAAGATCATCATGTAAATAAAAAAATGTAAATGTAAGAATAACTTTCATCTATGGGTCGTAAAACATTTGAATATTACAAGGTTCATAATGGTGTTCAATATACCTCATCATCTATGAAAATGAGATTTGCCGGCCATGCAACATACGCTCCTATTGCGTATCCCACCACTATTGCGTCTGAAACATCATCTGGTATAGGAAACAATGCACCCCCTCTAACGCAATATCAACTAATACTTTCAAAAATCCAGCAGGGAGCGGTTTATGGTGAAGTAAGTCTCCCACACTGTTATGCACCTTTCCCTTGCCAACCATGCGATAAGTCGGTGACGATAAATATAGCCGACAAGGTGAAATGCCCTAAACAAATAATGATGCAGATTAATGTGTCAATTAAGAAAATTGTGCTAAATTAATTTCAATGTAATATATACAATTACCTCTGGAAGCTTCTGCGGACAATTGATACTATCTTTGTCACTAGTATCTTTACCCTCTGGACCGCGCCTTTCTGACATGTATCTTTCTTTGTCCTTCTGTAATTCACGAATCTGAGCTTTCAATTCCTCCAACGTATCCATCACTTCTTTATTGCTAGGATTTTTTTCTTTGGTTGCTTATTCAGTTTTGATGGAGTGACACCAAATCCCTTACCCCTCACACGCCCAGAATACTCAGGGATATTTAACACCCGACTCAGTATGCTTCTGCAATCATCGTCCTCAGCTAGAGTTATACTCTGGGATAGAGTCTCCTGAAATATAGATAAAAGCATATATAAATATATTATACACTTTTGATCAGTTACTGATAAAACTAATGTTGTACTTACACATTGTTTAAATACTTGTTGAACTTCTTCCTGAACAACTCCATCTCTTCCCACACGGGCAGCCTTCCACACAACATGGTTCGGAAGAGATGTCGCATCACTTTTCTCCTCTTCTAACTACGCATTAAGACGGATAATAAAGCATTCATATCCTATTATATATACTTACTATTTTTGGTAACTATATCATATTAAAGCATTTATATATACTTACTATTTTTTGTTCTAAGCGTGCATATTCCAAACGCCATTTTTTGTATGGATATGCGGGTTTTGATGCCCGTTGCCGATTTACGCCACTCAAAACCTGAAAAAACAAGTTTAAGTCATATCAGAACTTTTGTGGAAGAAGTATATATACTATACATTGTTCATGATAAGTTGTACTTACTAAAAATTCTTTGGTTCTTCGCTTGGCACCAAATGTCTCCCATTCTTCTTATGAAATCAGATCAGCGTACTTCTTTGGACGCTCCGAGTCGACAAAGTTTCCATCAGAATCTTTAAGAAACTTGTTCGTTAAAAACGCTCTAAATCCCCTCAATCATTTTCCGGCCAATTGAAGACAATATTTTCTCCTGCAATCATCAATATTAAAAGATCTCTGCAAACAAATACACATACATATAACATGTTAGTATAATTAATTTAAAGATGTAACCGTCAACATAATTAAAAATAATCAAATATCATACATGTATCTCGCTCCAAATTTTGTCTTTAGCCGGTTGTAGCGAAGGAATTCTCCAATTATCGCAAGTAATCGGAATTTGCGATCGTACAAGTGCTCCAATGTAACTTGTCAGCATCGCACCATTAGGCTCAACTAATTGATCTCTTTCATTCCAATGCACATCATACTTAACACCCTTATCTCTCGCACGAATGATTTTTTTTCTTAATCGTTATTCCTCTTTTGATATCGCCTTCCACGTCTTTTGTTGTTTCGTTTCCATCATGTGATGTTTCCTCATTGGTGGCCATAATACCTGTAATTCAGAAAAATCAAAGTATCAAATGAATGACATAAAAATATGTAAATAAGAAATATATACATAAGAAATGTATAAATAAGAAAAACATATACATAATTTTATTGAATGACATAATATGTAATTGTATTGCATGATATAAATATGTAATTTTATTCAATGAGACAATATGTAATTTTACA